GTTAAACGTCTCTCATTGAAACGTTCTGCGGTTGAATAAAAATTTAATTATGATTTAAATATGACGTGGCACCGGCGTCTTAAGAGATATCTGTACGACTTGACGATGGCGATGGTCGTGACACACGCGTGGCTGAGTATTTCCGGCGCTTAGGCGTGGACGAGTATGTCAGTTCGTTGTGCGTTAGCGGTTAAGTATCTTCGGCCTTCCAACAGTTTTATTAGTGCCACTTATTATACAGCCACGTGTTTCTTTTCGGGGCAGACGGTCGTAGACCCTCCTTCAGTCACGTTTAGACTAATATTCCATACGCTAAGAGATTATAAACGTGTATATTTAGATAGAAAAGTCAGATACAATTGATTCTATCGTGGACTTAAATATCGACGTTATTATGGGTGAACATGTTGCGTGAAATATTTTTTATTTGAAAAAGGAAATCGATTTCTTGAACTTGTTAAACTAGAATTCCTCCTTAATAGGGGTACGCTGCATCACTCTGCGTAACGATTGCAGCGTCCGTTGCGCGACAGCGTCGTCAGTTGCTAATCCCCGGAAAACTCGTCTCCCGCTCTCTTCCTAATTAATATCTTGCCCCTTGCCTCCCCACTCTTTTTCCCCCCTCGTTTCTCTGTCGTCGTGGTCGGTAATGAAATGGGTCCATTCTTTTGAATTTCCATCGGAGAGCGACCGACGCGCTGCCGAGCGTCGACGCCCCGATGAAAGCCTGTCGCCCAGATGGCCCGATAAGCCGAACCGGTAATTAATAATTAACGGTTAACAATTAAGAGTGAAATTAGCGCGTAACACCGCCAGGTTTAATTGGACGTAACACAGAGAGGCCGGGCAGGTGGTGCTCGACAGGACGACGCGATTCCTTCGACGTCTCGGGTCTGAATTTAATTTCCTTCCTGGATTATACACCGCCCGCTGATAAATATTGGGGCCTTTTCGGACAGCCGCGAGATCCTCGAACGTCCGTATAATTAAATCCGGTAAAAATGGTTTTCAAACGCGACGCTGTCCGCCATCCCGCCATTATCCTCGCGTCCGTTTCGATTGCTTTCTATATAGATCGATTCAAGAGGCTGCACGAGGCGAAGAAAGAAGGTCGAGCTTGCCGATATTTGCGTGGAAAACGTGCGTGTTCTAATTAATCGTCCACCTGTGGAGCCGGGACCATTTTTATCGCTACTGTTTCATTTCAAAATTAAGATATGGTTGACAAAAACGAGGAATATAGTCACAGATCTCTGACCACGCATTATATTTACGGGAAAGAATTTTTTTCTCAAAAGTGAGTAGTATTTCGGGGTTGTATGTATTCACCAAAAATGATTGTAATTGACCCCCGGAACTGAAAATAATTTTTTTAGAACGATTTAAAATCTTTTCTTTTCAGGGTAATCAGACAGTTATGGTCAGACATTATATTTTCGGTGATGAATTTTTCTCTCGAAAGTGAGTAGGATTTCGGGGGTATGTCTATTCACCAAAAATGCTTGCAATCGACCCCCGCAACTAAAAATAATTTTCTTAGAACGATTTGAAATTTTTTAATTTCGCCGAAAAATTACCAGTTTTCTTGAATTCAGTGCCAGCACATATCTCTCCTATGGCAGGAATAAACAAGTATTCACAGAAGTGAACGCGGAGGTATTAAAAAATTTCTGTTGTAAAGTTTAATACCTCGGCTTCCGTTTTACCGTATTATTTTTATCGCCGTGTACGATTCCACGTGTCCGTTTACTATGTTGGCCTAGTTAACTGGAGCACGGCAGTTAAGTGGTTAATAGACGCGTGGTGGTTTCTGTTTCGGCGATCCCCGGAGAGAAACTCGAGCGAATTCAAATGGGTTCCCGGCGTTGCGAAGTAAATTCGGAACGGCGCGCCCGGCGACGACAGAAAAGTTAAGAAAGACAAAACACGGAGGTAGATTTAGGCGGAAGTTTTAATACGGCCTCGTTACTTTTCCCGCGATATTAAGGCGTCTCATTAATCTCGCTGCATTGTTCTGCAACTTCTACGCATCTTACGTTAAACACACTTTGCAACGTCGTAAATTAATATAGGGATGGAAGCTACGTATTCAAAAAAAAATAAAAAGCATTGTACGAACAATTTTAGTAAGTCACATTCAAGTCTACTCGCTTTGATTATTTTTCTAGTATTCCTTTTCACATTGTACTTTAAAGTTTGAACAAATACCACCTGTCGCGTAGGGATTGTAGAAATGTTGTCAAACAGGACGAAATCGACCAGGTTTATGACTCGTGCAGGCCAACAGACTAATTTAAGAAGGGAATTTAGGCACAGCTGTACTTTCCCGAATAATAAGGTACAATTAAGTTATAAACCTGGAGCAATCTACCCTTGGATGGTTGGACTGGGTTGCCAGGTCTACCAGCAGGACACCTTCGGTGGGCAATTTCCAATATCAATATAGATATTTATCTCCTGGTACAGCTAGTCGAAAAGTCGATAAAAGCTTTGGATAATTAGATATCGCATTCAATACGGTTGCCTCGTTAGAACAAAGCTTTGCAACAGGATTCCACCAAGTAGATCATCCAACTTACGTGGTAACTCGCTCTTTAAGGTCGTTAACTATTAACTTAAGGATGAAAATGACCAACGCAAATCGCAAAGCGACGAGAAACAGCGCACGAAAACAAATACACGAACCGTAATACGTTAAATTGGATATTCCTGGTGTCTACCTGGGGGCGCAGGTTATTCTGCGAGCAGTTTCCCTCGAAAACGGTCGGAACGGGGCACCGTTATGTCCCCGGGAACCCTTAATGCCCGGTCTGAAATAAGGCGACGTCGGAGCAGCCCGAAGAAAAGGTACTCGTTACTTGGGTTCTCCTGGACAAAAAGACAGAAGTTTCGGGGTCTAGGTCGGCGATCGCGTCCCAAACGGCACCCGCTGAGCTACCAGGAAGGACGATTATTGTTAATTAAGGTGGGCGTGTCGGGCAGGTCATACGCCGGTTTCACGGCCCTTAACGAAGGGACAGGTCAGCCCGTTTTATGAATTCTAATGCCATCCTCGGTATTCGGTGGTTCACGAAATTTCTCTCCCGCATTTGCATTTCACCAGCAGCGCGAGAGAGAGAGGGGCCGAGCAACCTCGTCCGCCGACGACTTTTAACCTCGTTCGCCGCTTTTAACGTAATTAGCCCGCCTATTCACCGCTGCCACTCCGGCGAATTATCAAGTGTTGACGGTCACGAGGTATTTGATAACCAATCAAACGCCATTGTCCACCGAAACTGGGGCTCCTCTCGTTAACGGCTTCACGGGCAGCTCGCGATTTACCTGTCCTTACGAGGCGTCTGGACACTCTACCGAGAAGGAATCGCCGAGCATTCCATTCGGACGCGTGTAACGCGCATTAATGTTTAAATGCATAAAAACCGTGACTGTTTATAGAGTCACCTCGACGGTAATTGATCGAATAAACCGTTCTCCGCGTTTTTAATGGCTTTCCGTAAGCCGGGTTTTATGGTACGGACACCAGGAACACGCTACTTAGGGAAAACAGCTGCTTCACACCTCAGTCGAACAACCGAGGGATTATAACCATAAAACTCGCCTCATTGTCACGAATTTTCCAGTCCCAACTCGTGTGTATATTTATCGATGCAGCCATTAGTTCGTGTCTTCGTCCCTAAAAATTTTGTAAGGATTCCTGCTCGAGGTTTAACGAGATCGTGGGAGTAGTTTCTATTTTGAAACGACTGTATCGCGTGTCGAATTGTCGCTGGGAGGTGACGACGAGTTAACGAGATTACTTCGCCGAGGAAAACGAGGAAATCTGATTGGATGCCGGAAAAGATCGCGAGGGGGAGTAATTAGAACGGGCTTTGTTCGTCGTCGCCGCAACGCGCGCTTCGTTTCCGTCGACGACGTTCCCGTTGCCACGCTATGATCGAGGAGACGATATTTCTCGTCGATTACGACAGATCTGTGCTTCCTGGGGCTTCGGTTCGATCCAGATTAACTGGAAAATTAGACCTTTGATCTTGTCGCGCCTACGTCCTTTCCGATTTTCTTTTTTTTTCGAAGAAACAGCCGTTATTCGTCGGCTATTGCTCGAACAAAAACTACTTAAAACCCTTATTATAAATTTGTAAGCATTCCAAACGTTTGAACACACGAGATCTAGATCCAAGCTCGTAGATGCTGGGCTTAATTACGCGGAACCAGGATAAACAAATAAACCGGTCGCATCGATCGTCGTAAAATGTTTATTACGGCAATCGTTCTGCCTTCCCCTTTGTTGGTCACGGCAACAATCGAGTACGTCTTTACCGACGCGAACCAGAGGATCATGGGAAACAAGCGTAGAGAAGCTGAGAGGGGTAGTCTCCGCGAACAAGATTGCGTTTACCATCCCCGTGGACCTTTCTCTCGCGATCCACGGGCGCTTTAATGCCCCTGCATTCGGATTGAATTTAAATATTTCTTCGGCCGACGAACTCTTTCGCGAATTGCTCTGTCGTAAAAGGTCCCCTGCACCATCCTCCCCCATCCGCGGATCGTTTTGCCGCGAACCGCTGTTTCATTCGGATCGGCGGCATTATGAAATCGTCTTGAGGACCAATAAAATTGCCCCTGCGACTCGGACCGCCGGTGAAATTAATATCAGCCGGCACAGTTTCGTCGCTAAATCTAACGCGATAAATACCCCGTAGTCTCGAGATTTTCGTGAAGCTTATGAAAGAAGTTTCGACGGCTGTTTGAACTCTGGCCCTCGATCGGTATCGAGATGACTTCCTTCGATTCGACCTCGATTTACAGGTTAAACGTTTGTATGTAGGTGGCATATTTGATTGTTCTGTTTATCAAACACCAGATCAAGTGCTGGACGAAATCACAAAATAACATTTTTTAAATTTACTGTTTCAATTTTTAAATATAAACACCCCCAATGTTGCGGGCTGGTTTCATCTGGCAAACTGATAAATGATAAATGTTGGTTTCTCTTGTTACAGATATCAGCAGAGAGCCGGAAGAAGAGAGCCGGTTCTAGGAGAGCCGGGATCCAATAAGCTTCCAGTTAGGTAGGCTTAAAAAGCTTTTGTTTTTCGTCGTGGGAAGCTGTTGGTGGGCTCGTCGGGCCCACCCTCTCATCGGTCAAGCTGGCGAGCGCTCTAACCGCTGGTATGAACCCCCACCATCCGGGCCACTCCGCAGCGTACCCGCATCATCCCTCGCTTTCGAGCAGTCCGCATCATTCCGGGCCTCATCACGGCTACAGCACCGGCGGCGGTGGTGGTGGGGGCGGTGGCGGCGGCACCACCACCACACCAGACTTGCCAAGTCCCCATTCACCGCCCCACGGACCGGCCATCGACCCAGCCACCCCCTACGCGTCGCTGCAACAGGGCCAGGGGATGGGCAGCAACGGGCATCATCACGGCGGCGCTGGAATGATGGCCGATCATCCACATCACCCGGGACATCCCCATCCTCACCTACCAGGACACCCCGCTTACCCCCCGGTCAATCACAACAACAACTGTACACTCAAGGTGAGCCACCCCCACTTGCAATTTTATTCATAGCATAGCATAGCATAGTAAACTCGTTTTAGGCCCACGAGACAATTTTTATACCTCACAAATCAGTTTGATATATTATTAGAATTTTTGAAGGGATGCTTTTTCTCAGGCGAGACTCTCTCTGCTTAAAATTGATACGTGTGGTAGTTTGTTAGGTTGATTCGAGGATGAAAAATGGTAACAGAAAGTTTGGAAATGTATAATTACGATCGTGGCTTTTACTTAGTTTCCTGCACTCAAGAACTTAGGCAGTCTCGAATACGACGGCAGCAGGGGGGCCAGACTTTCACCATTATGCGCTTGTTTACGCTTCTGAGATAGATGGTTACCAATTGCATCTTGAAAACACGCTGCTTCGAAAGTTTCTGATGCTTAAAACTACAATGCTAATTTAATTAGAGTTCGTGACTCGTATAGGAAACCTTGTTTGATTTTCATCGCGAAACTTATACGTCTTGCACAACTTAAAACATTTTCCGTTGATCAGCGACCGGTTGAGGACTCTAAAATAAAAGTAAATTGGTAATTATTTATTGTAGCATTCACATCATATGATCTTTTCAAAATAACACATATCGTCTCAAGAACAGAGAATCCCGTTCCATAGCTGTTAGGCAACCGAATCGACGAAACAAATTAAATTGGGATCTCTCCCCTCGTTGACCCCTGTCGAGTGCCCCGTCATTTTCCGTCGCCCCCGTCGGAGGTACGCTTCGTGTGACGTCTCGTATCGGGAACGGTGCCCCGTGTACGATTAAAATGCACTTTCTACGCTGGCTCGTCGCGCGAGGATGATCACGAGAAAAAGTTTTCAACCGGAAGCACCTGGAACGAGTACGTACCGCATTGTTCGCGTAATAACTGCTGTTGGTCGTTTATTACGTAAGCCTACTTCGCGGCCGTGTAATTTCCCACCGACTAATACGCGCTCGTGATCTCTAAAAATGTTAATCGCACGGTGGAAATCGCGCGCTACGACGCAGACATCGAGGATCGACGAGAGAACGTCTCTGACGTTCTTCTTTTCATTCTTTTTTTCATTGCCAAACGAGAAGTCATTAATTGCTGAAAAAGTTCCTTACGTTACCTTTAACCGTGATAAAGATAACTATAACGTTTGTTTTTTAATATATTCCTATATTCTTAGCAGTAGATAATGATCTATACAAAACTTGTGATTATTGGTTCAGTTGTGCTGCTTACTGTAGATCGTGCATGTCAAACACGTGGCGGTCCATGTATTTTTTGTTTCCATTATTATATTTGTTGAGATTTGTAATATTGTTTATGAAAGTTTCCTATCTCCGAATCTTGAATAGCCGTTTGAATAGTGCATATATAATGTTAATAAGTTCCGAGTGTAATATTACGTTTCCTTAGAGCGATTAGAGTTCGCAAGGCGGTTCGGAACGCTGTCGTTTTATCAAACGAAAGTAAATTTAACATTTTTCGATCGGATAACGTGTCATCCAGTATGGTGTGAACGTAAAAACTTACGACCCATTGTTAAACACGACCAAGTGTTGTCTGTGGCTGTATATCGAGCAAGTTGGGGGATTAGTTTTCATGGGTGGCATTATAGCCACGAACAAATGCTCGAATTTATTACGAAATAAAATTGAATGCAAGAAAATGCACTCGAGTTATCCACATTTTTCAATATTTCCAATTTTCTTTGGGGCCCCTTTGGTCGGTAAATCAACCCTCTCAGATTTCACGCCCCCTCTTGGAAACAGAGGGTCGAGGAAAAACTTTGTCGACTGCTTCATCACTGTGGCTTGTCCACTTGCTCGGACAACTGCTCCGACACGCTGGCCTAAATTCCGGTATCTGGAGTCGCGATGATACTGTCAACAAATCACCGTGTCGAGGTCGGCTTTTCGAAAATCGACGCACAGGTGGGCCCACCGAGTTTGGGTCGTAACGGCAGGTCGAAAAGCGTCGCGAGAGAAGCTAGAGACGCTGTTAGGGTCTTAGGCTAAAATTCAGAAGGCATTACCCGTCCCGCGTGACCCTCACTTAGCTCGCCATTGACAAACGTAACAATATAGGCATTTACCATGGAGAAATATAATTGAATAGGGGCGGAGGGGACAGCGAGGAACCCGGGGGTCCCCCGTCGTCCCTTTCCCCCGGTGCTGGCCCCCTTCCCCGTCGCTGGTCGCGTCGTTTCACTCCATAATACACCGTCCGTCTCGGTCGCACGCTCCCCTACCACCGTCACTGCGTCCTCGTCCGACCCAGCCGGAGCCTATGGATGGGTCCCGTCCCCTTTCAACGTTAGTTAGGTCCTTTCTAGGCTCACCTTTTTATTCCCCCCACCAGGGACCCGCTTCTCCTGGCTGACCGGGGTACCTGAACCCCGGGGCCTCGCGAGGCATTCAGGGGCCCAATGCAGCGGCGGACCAGTCAGTTCACTGTTGACTTCGGTCGGGATCGGTTCGCTTTTTCCTGTCCTCGCGCGCCTCCGACGCTCTATCCGTACGCTCTCGTCCAATCAGCGCGTGGCTCTGGCCGTTTTTCGGGGCCCGATCTCTCTCGTCCGTCGCACGGAATGTTCGCTGGACGTCGGAGGCCGGAGGAAACGCACGCTCCTCGTACCCGACGGCAACGCTGATCCGTCGCGTCGCGCAGGAATCTCGGGTCTCGCGAAAGGTGACGCGCACCGTTCGTCTCGTGGATCGACGAAATACCTTTTTTTGGATGATTCGGGGACCGACGACACGCCACGGTCCCGTGCAGTGGTTCGGTGCGCAAGGTGTGTGACTCTCACGCGAGTGGGAGAAACGAGTGTGCCTCGCCCGAGGACGAATGATATCATTGGGCGAGTGAATTCGCGGCGAGAAGGGCACAAAGTCGCCAGGTTTTTCGGGCAAACGTTCAACGTTCGGGGTCCCCGCGGATCATGGAGGTTCACGCGCACCACTACAACGCCATCGCGACGCGGATGAACCAGATGAAGTGTTTCCCCGGAGACAAAATCGTAAGCATCGAGCGATCCTCTGTTTTAATACCGATCGTTACGCGTGGAAATTTTGGCCCACGGCGGGCCCCCCAACAGTGTTGTACCGGCGAGCACGGGGACCCGTGGCGTCACTTGGGAGATTCCAGTTCTATTCGGGACCTTCCGTTTTTCTACATTTGTCGAAATTTGGAGACCGTAATCGCGAATTTTCTGTGCGAAGGATTCATGATGATCTTCGGTAATAGTTATGTAGAATAGAGTGACTGAATTTCTTCCCAACCTTGAGAACCAGAATCAGAACCATTGCTATTACATTATAAGAATATAAACTTCGTGAATGAAATGCAAAAGAGAGGAATATAGTTAAAAACAAACTGATCAGTACTTGATAAATAGTATGGGAATATGTGAACGTAAACACGTACACCGTGTATTAAGGTGCCTTAGTGTGTTTCTCCTTCGGTGCAATCTCCAGAAATTTATGATGCAAGTCATGTTCTTGTATCATTAGGGTATTAAGCAGATTCGTCACATGTCGATTCTATTGAATTGTAACAAAAATGATCTTTTATTTACCAACAAACTACGCGATTACGTTCGATCAATCATGCAACCTTTATTATTATTTATGACAATTTACCATCTTAAAGGCAACTTGTTAATCCAAATAGAGTTTTAGAATTAAGATTGATGGCCACTCGATGATTCCAAAAATATATTTACCAAAAAAATAATGTTCGCGCGAGTTTCTTTGGCGATCGAGCCTGCGTGGAATAGTGGAATAGCGACTCTCGGATAATCGTTAGATATTTACCCCTTTTAAAGTTCCCGGCTACAAATTTCGAGCATCGTCGTTGGAATTTCGCTGCGTTTCCACAGGACCCGTTCCGTATCGGATTTGACTTTAGCCGAGGCAAATTGCTTAAACGACTCCGGTAGTTTCGATTGACTTGATTTGTCTCGATACTCGACTGTTTCCGATTACAACGTTGCATTAATGGTATCAGCGTCGATCGAAGTTTGCACTGGCCGCATTGTGCGCCGTCGTCCCGCTGAAATACATATTCATCGTCCGATGTTGTTCAATGGAAGACAATACGCGTCTCTTTTTCCCCTCTCTCGCCCAAGACGATTACCATTAGATCAGTCGTAGAGGGCTAATTAAATTTTTTCGACCAGCGAACTATCGTTTGACAAATACGTGTACACCTCGAACGATAAGTCTGTGTGCTCAACTACGAATCAGGCCTGTGGTCTCTTCGATTCTAACAATATTCTCCATCTTTAATATTCGGGACACAATTCTCAATAATTTTAAAATAATTTTATTTCAAATAAAATCCTGCTATCTTTACTCGAATGCGAATGAAACGTTTTCGAGCAGTGCCCGAAGTGCAACAGTATTTAATTTGAATACTAATGGATCAGTTTTAAAAATTAAATAACTTGCTATTTAAAATGCATATTTTATCGATGCCTGCTGCATTATTTGAAAGATAATTAAAGTCAAAATTTATGTAAATAACTGTTCGATCAAATAAATTGAGATTTGATTAAAAACATATTCCAGAATTTTTATATTCTTTTTCGCCGTATCGGATGGATTTTATATCGGGTTATATTGAGAAACGTCGTGGAATACAAAATTTTCTTCGAACAATACATTTTCGTCGAAATACAATTGGAGTTATTTAAGTTGATCGTCTCTCTTTAAACTCGATTTCCATTCAAGATATTTTATTACCAATATTGTATGTAACACTTCTATTTTAATGAAGGAAAATTTTATTACCTTATTTACATTTTGCATTAATAAGCAGACTGGAAACGTTCACTCGCGATACCGTGTCTTACCATACGCTAATGTGAAATGAAAATGCGCGCCTCTACTTGCACGTTTATTGTATTCGTGACCCGAATCAGCATTCCAGGATGTAATACTTAAAAATTCACATCGACTTAACGAATTAACAATTTTTGTATAAATTATTGGGTCGATGGAAAA